AGAGAGGGGGGGGGGGGGGGACCCAGTCTGACAGGGTTTCTGGAACTCTTAAGCCAACTGCATGTTTTAACTCTTTTTTAGGAATCACCCTGTTTTGTTAATTCCTAAGATTCAGGATTAATGGAGGTTTCTGTTGATAAAGAATACTGAAAATGCTGCATAAGCCCATCTCGCTTCCATGATTCTCCAAAAGCAGGCATTCTGCAGCATGTCTAAATGATGCTTATTCCCCATCCCATTTTGCATCATTTACTTTGCAATAGTTACAATTTCACATACTTTTACTACAGCCTTTGCTAGCCAAGGGGAAGAACAAACCTTGCCACCACCCTCTCCCACCAGCTTCTGGATGTCTTGACTGGTTTCCTGTTGGGTTCCATCATTTCATCTTGTCTGCAGACCCCTGAGGACTCTGTTGTGTCCATAAGGACATAAAAATAGATTTCATAAAAAACTTTGGTTCTCATAAAGGGCATCAGTAGTTTAGGATACCCTCCAAAGGCACCATTCCCACTGAGTAAATGTCTTTGAGGGCACCAAATCAGCATACTCTTAAAAGATTTCTGCCTCTTCTACATATCTGCAAATAGAAGAGAAAGGACAAGCAAGATGAGGAGAAAGGAACCTTTAAGAAACTGTGGCGTTCTGCGGAGAGACTGATGGGCCGTTTAGTCCTTTGTTCCAGTACTTAGACCCAGTACTGGCTGTTTTTCAAAGCTGGGTTAGATGTCCTACAGTATTGGAGCAATTCTGGATCCTGTTGTCCTCCTGGCCCTGATCCTTTTGAATTGGATCCTGATTCTTTGGCCTCCAAGGTATTGACTGTTGTCAGAGGTATGTTTTGACTAGGATCAGTCTTACGGAAGGTTTCTTGGTCTACTACTGTCCCATTCTTGTATTTGGGGGGTGTCCCCTGGACGTTGTGCTTGCCAGTCTTGTTACGTTTGTGGAGGTAGAAGAGCAGGGGCAGGATCAAAGCCAGAAGCAGAAGGATGAGACAAATGGGGAGGATGATGCTGAACATATTGGCTTCAATGAAACCTAGTAGAGGGCCCTTTTCTGTCTGAGATGTTGATCCTGAGCCTGGCCAGGTTGTTGGAAGGACATGGGACTTGTTGGAACTATAGTGGGGTCTCTCTGATACATAAGGCCTGGTTGTAAATGTCTGGAATGAGGGCGCTATGCTTTGTGGTGTAGAGCTATGGCTGCTTTCCTGGGGACCAGGCATACTGATCAGGGTGGCCTTATAAGGGGTGGAGGAGTTGAAGGTCTCAGTGGTGTACACCATCCAGTCCAAGGCAGGGGGCACACCTTCAGCTGCCAATTCAAATTGAAAGCTGTCCTCTTGGAGATTTTGCCCTGAATCTTCTGTCTCCCAGATTTCTAACCCGATTAGCCCTTTCTCAAGGTCATCTTGGGTGAAAGCAGTGATGGAGACAGGCTGATCCAGTTTGTCTCTGGAGACTTTCACAAAATTGCTCCCTTGAGGTGCTTGGAGAATTTTGAACTCAGGGATGCTCTTTGTCCTGTTGGCTAGCTCATTGGCATCAAGAATATTGGTATTGAGTTGGACAGTGGTTCCTCTTGGCCAAAGAATCTCCTGCTGAGTTTTGACCAAGGCCTTGACTGTTACATTCACAATCCCTGAGATGTTGATTGCTCCTGATGTGGCAAGGAATTGAAATTCATCTTTGGAGGAGACAAAATCTGTGAAAGTAAATATTACCTCCCCATTGTCCACTTGTCTTTGTGAAAAACTTCTCACAGGTTTTTCATTGACTTCCACCTGGCCATACTGTGGGGCCCTGATGAGCTTATATAGGGTATTTTGCTCTCCTTGGTCTAAAGACCCTAGAAGATGTTTGTGAGAGAGTGAAACCATGTTCAAGTCTTGGGGTACTTCCAAGATTGTCTGGTTTGTTGCCCATGTAGTTGCTGGAAGAACCATGATTTCCAGAGAAGTGAAAATGGGCTTATGGAGACCATCTGATACAGCAAGCTCTAAGATTCCAGTAGAACTTGTTCTATTGGCGATAAACATCAGGTATCTTGCATTGATGTCTGCTTGTGTGAATTGGGTTATAGGTACTGGCTTATTATGGGCCTTAGCTATAAATCCAATTGAAGATCCAGAAATGACATTGTATTTGATTTCTTCAGGGAAGCTGTCTGGATCTATGACATTCAAATGTTCTGGGGAGAGCATCGTGGAGGAACCTTGGAGAACTTGTAGGACTTTTCCTTGGCTGACTAGTTTTGGTGGCATTTCATTACTGTCACTCACTGTGATATTGAACACCCCAGAAATCATGATTTCCTCTCCTTTTTGTGGGGGCTGAATAGATTTCACTGTGTTATGCCGGAGCCAGGCATTAAATCTGAAATAATCATCCAGGATTCCAGGACCATGATGGGAATATTCCAATCCACCTGCAGCAAGGTCAGATTGCAGAAAATAGGGATGTATCTTATTAACTGGACCATCTGGAACAGAAAGTGTCCCATAGGTGGGTAGTTCAGTCACCAGAAATACCACATCATAGGATGTTCTGTTTAGCTCAGGTTCTTTGGTAAGAAGGTTGGAAGCATCTAGTAATGAGATGTTGATTGCTGCATTTTGAGCTTCTGGAATAGTGAGGCCTGAAAGGAAAAGGAAAAACATGGTGTGACCATCTCCTTCCTGAAATACGCAACTGGGTTCAAAACAAGGAGGCAACATAGAAGCTGCAATGGAAGAAAGAGAGAATTAACAAGGAAAGGAGAAGTGGAAAAAGGGAAGAGAATGAAGAGAGGCAGATTATGGCTCAAGAAAGTAGAATCAGAAGGTGCCAGGGGACAACCAGGAATACCTCGCCATGAGAACATTCTAACGCATATTTTTTTAACTAACAAAAGAATGTTTCCATCCCTTTCTCCAGGGTCAAAAAAAAAAAGTTCTTGTTCCAGCCAGATGCTCTCATATCTCAGGAAGAAGCACTACTAGAAATGGATAGATCTGTTTCTTTCTGGCCCATGCCTGTTTCACAGTCCTCCTCTTTTCCATGTCTTCATTTTCAAAGGTATGGATATGTGCATGTAAGCCTGTGTCCTTGAACATCTTTCTCCTCCAGTGCTTATTATTACACCTGTATTATCCTAAACTCTGCATTTTGTATGCCTGCCATCCCCATGTCATTTTTATACACACCCTGAAGTTGAGATCTCTGTTGCAAAAACAAAGACAAAAAATGGAGAAGTATACCGTCGGTTGGATAACTGCGTTCTGATTCATGTATCAGCCCAACCATTGCAAAATAACTCAGCTCACTTAAAAATCCTCCAGTGTCCTAAAGACCTACAGATCTGCTTCCTGAGCATGTCTGCACATTGACACATGTCTCTGCTTTCTACCTTTATTTCTCCACAGCTGAGAGGAGCCCTGGGGACAGCTGGCCTCGAACGATACCATCACTCCAAGGACAAATAGGTCTGTGGTCACCGCCGGAGAAGAAATTTGGAAGTGGAAATTATCCTCAAGGATCCAGAAAGGTTCTGGTGGCATATCATGATGGTATGCAAGGATTCCTGCATCCACCTGTTTGCAGCAGAGAAGAAGGACAAGACATTCATTAAAGAGAAAAGAAACAATAACATTGGCTTGATGGGAGCCTCTTATTCTCTGCCCCTTTGTGTCCTAGGCATGTCTACTTGTGTCCACACAACAGGAGCAGATATTGCAGCCTTCCCCAGTTGGAGTCCTCTAGACGTGCTGGACATCAACTCCTACAAAACCTAGTCAGCATGGCTGTGGGTCTTTCTGGCTGGGGGCTTATGGGAGATGAAATTCAAAAGAACATCCAGTTGAAGAAAGTTGATTCATAGGCTGCCTGCTTGATCCCATCCAAATTCTCCTCTCCTGTATCATTTCTCATTTTATTTCCCCCATGGAAGTGCTGGTGGTGTTCCATGACCACCAGTTATGTTCTGTCATGTCCTCCTGGTGCTGTTTTTTCCATGGGGGGAAAGGAGATCTGACCCCTTTTATGATGTCTTTCCTCCACAACTTAATTTTGGTGCCCTCAGGTTGCGATAAACTGACTCCCCTCTGCGCCCCCGATTGACTGTGTTTGCGTGGTGCTGATTCACCCTCCCCTGAGAAAATGAGTGAATTTTGTGTTCCTTTTCTTCTCCCATTTTTTGGTCCTTGCTCAAGGAAAATTCTCAGGAAGACTATTGGGGGAGCCAATTTCCACATGGTTAAAAGGAAACAGGTTCATGCCACATCTGGCCATCACTCAAACAAGGAAGAGATGGAAATGGTTCCTCCCACCCAAAAGAAAGTCACTTTTAGCCCTTGATGATCAATGCATATAGTAAAGATCTTTTACTGGTGGTCTCCATCACAGAAAGAGTGCCAAACATTTTAACCTCAGCTTGTGTGAAATTTCTCAGCTCTTCTCCGTTATTCTTCTGGCTATTCAACAGCTTGCCAAACTGTGGAGACCGTTTTATGATGTAAAGTAAAGACCTTTCATCCTCTTGTTGACTGGACACTGCTTTCAGGTTCTGGCTTCTGATTGGCTGAGAAGAACCTTGAAAAGTAAAGGTTAGGGAGAACCACCCGTTAGGATGCAATACAATGAAAAGGTTGCTCACTTATGAGAGAAATGGAAAGTTGTAATTGCTTGAAATATTCCATATACACATCATGTTCATCTCACAGCACAGAACTGTTTCAGCATGTGAATTTGCCATAATGAATAGAAGTGGTCTAATGATTGGGGAGAGATTGCTCATGTGAAAAAGCAATCCAGTGGCTGGATGGTTTCAAGTCAAATGGATTTGATTTGACTATTTGAGTCATTCTGACAACTTTATTTAGCAACTCTATTTGGTTCTGAGAACTGACCAAATTGTCTTTGAATCAAAACTTTGTGCAGCCTGACTGGACATTTTTAAATAGAATTTAAGCAATAACTTTTTAAAATCAGATTCAGTCTTCAAGATTGCTTGGAGTGTTTGTATGGATTCAAGTGACTTGATGACCTTTTGTTCTCCAGAACCTTCCATTAAACTCATAAGTAAATCATGTACTTTACAAGCAAAAGAGATGGAAGGCCAGTGGAAATCTTTTTTTTTTTTTTCCAGGAAGCCACCTCAAAGCAGGGTGGGACCATCCCCAATTTAAATCCATGCCTGGCCAGATGAATGGTCTGGATGCGGAGCAAACCAATGGAAATCCAATCCAGACAAGTTGGAAGCCGCGTCAATGTATCTCATGAGGCTGCATCTCCCTAAAGCACCTTCTAACTTTCCATTGTGGACTTTCTATGAACTTGGATCGGACTAGCCTTTCACACAAAATAATGTTGTCTCTGAAATAAAACACCCGACCATCTCATCAGTAAATATCTTACCTGGGCACACCATCAGATCTTGCTTATTTTCCAGAGTGATGACCAGTTTCTTCTGAGCTTTCACAGCAAAGAAGTGTCCAGGAGACATGTTCTCACCATCAGATAGATCAAAGGAAAACCCTCCATCCAGAGGTCCTAGAGATGACAACCAAAAAGAAGCTCAGAGCTCAAGTACATATGGTGTGGTCATTTATGCCCTAGCTTCTTGACCTCTGCTACTTTTGGATACTGGACACTGCATGGGAGACCTGCATCAAAATGTTGGTGTGCATTTTTACTTCTGGTAGGAACAATTTGCTTAAGCCCTCCTGTTGGAATACTCCAATGTATTGCTCACTTTTCTTTTTCTTTTTCATCTGACATTCACCAACCATTTTTTCATGGCTACCAATTACGCCCAGTGATCACTAAAATGTTCTGTTGTTCAATCTGCACCTGTATTTTTTTGTGTTTTTTAATTGGTTGGGGTATCTGCAAGATTTGGGACTTCTGGTAAGTGGCACTCACTACTTGAATTTACTGTGGAAGTAATGATAAGGCATGTTCTGGATTTCAAGCTTTCCTTGGACATAGACTCACTAGTGGCCTTGGGCTGGGTTGCAAATGAAGGGTTTGAAAGTAAGTATGTCTCAGCAGGTGGAAATAACTGGCTGATCTTGTGTAGGCTTGGAAACTAAGCAGGGTTGGCCTTGGGTAGTACAGAGAAGGGAGAATCAGTGTAGGCTAGACTGGAAATTTGAGAGCCATCCCAGGAGAAGTCAAGGAGAGTCCAACAATGGCTTGGTTGCTTCTGTGAGGTTACTAGAAGCCAGACTGAATTCGAAAGGGATTTGACATTATAGGGACTCTGCCTTTAGACACCTCCCATGAATACATATCACATGGAGCTGAGAAATTGTTTTCATCTCACATGCCATTTTGGTCTGGAGAAAGGTCTCAAGTACAATCTTGGCGTCTTGGGTTAGGACTGGGAGACCCATATCTGAAATCCTGAACAGCTGACAAAGCTGGGCTAGTTAATTCAACCATCTGACTTTGCAGAAGTTAGCTTTGTCTACTCCTTTGTAATCTCTGCACCCAAACTGCTTGCTTTTCTCCATTCTGCTACGGACCTTCGTGGATGAACTGAACAAGGTGGTTGTTTATCTGGGACTGGGTGAACCTCTGGATTGCACTGCTGGGTGATGATTTCAGCACCACCTTCCCATTGACTGGTGTCCTGATGGAATAAATGACTTCTTCTAGAGGCGTGTCTTCATCTTCACTTTGGAGAAACTCTGGTGTAATGTCTGCAGTGCCACCTTCTTCAATCTGCAAGAAAGATTGAGAAAACACTGGAGTTAGTCACCAGCCAACCTTATCCTATGGCGCTATCTGTAAATTGAGAACCTTGAAGAAGAACCTGTGTCCTGCATCATCCTTAATTACTACACAATTGCTGGAACTTGATTCTTCATAGGCATGAATCATCTGACAGTAGTTATTTACTCTCTCCCCCACTAAAGGATTTTCCAGGATAAAACATTCACATATGACTGTTTTAAATACGCTTACAAGTGGCTTAAATAACTAATTGCAATTCCACAAATTGCAAAAAAATCCAGGTGGTGACTTTTCCATGCACAGGAACCTTTTGCAATGAGCATGCTGCAACAGGCTGAATTTTGCTACGTGCATTTAGCTCCTGTTGTGTCTAGAAAAACACTGAACTTGCTCTAGCCATGCTATTTATTAAATACGCAAGGGAGAAATGTAAGAGCAGAGACAAGGTGATTCTAGGGAAAGGAGAATTGGCCCTGGACATTTAAAATAAAATTTAGCTTGTGGCTTAAAGGTTGAGCTATGGAGGGGGTTCCTTTAATACGACAAAGCAACCTTCCTGTTTAGTTGGAGGACTGAAGAGCACCTTAATGAATTTCGAAGCCCTGGTGACTGTAGCCTGAAGGACTGAAGAAGCAGCAGCAAAGTTTTACTCTCCTTCTTCCCCATCATCAACAAAAGAAATCTCTTCCACTGTTTTCAGTGAGAAAGTGATGATTCTCACACCTTGTTTAAATGTTTAGCAGTTTTGGGGTGTGGTGGGAGGATGGCAGGGAATCATCTCCCCTCCCCCATGCTTCTTTAAGGCTTGGGGAGAGATCAGAAGGACCCAAGTTTAACTCATCCCTTTGAGGTTGGACCTTGGTGTCCAACCTTGGAGGAAGGAAGTCCTACAGATATGTTCAGGCTGGAGCCCTAGAAACACAGCTCTGAAACTAAGTCTCATTGATCTCCTTTGCAATTGCTTTGAGTAGGCAAATGCTATACTTAGTAATTTGGGGAACCCATTATTTCCTATGGCTCCTTTTCCCAGTCTGCTAAATGGATGTAATAATCTTGTCCTACTTCCCAGGAACCCTTTTGACACTCTGAGCTGCCATGGAAATACCAAATTTTAACACCCTTCAAGTCTGGTCCTGCTTCTGCCATAATCCCTGTTTCTCTTTTCCTCTTTGTCTTTCCATTCTGTCTGTTCCTGAATTGCCCCAGGATATTATTCCCAACTTCTTTCATGCATGAGGACTTGAGAATAGGTTGTTCACACTCCAAGAGATCTTGGGCTCCGCCTGCTTTGCTTGTCTTCATGCAGGGCACACCCAGTTCAGTGAGCCAAGTGCCCTCAGTCTCCAAAATGTGCTTGGAGAAGTTTTCTGGTTCAATGCCTTGGTATTTCTGGATTTGGGCAACATAGGAGTGACTTATCCTGTGTCACTCCTCTTTCCCTTTGCCGAATGCTGAATTTGTTTTCTTCCTATGGAAGAACCTAAGGGATGAATATTGCAGGAAAGACTAGAGTTTCACATCCTGACTCATGGTAGCTCCTTGGTTAGAATATGCAAAATTTGGCGTGCTTGTCTCCCAAAACTCTCCAAGGAAAGTTTGCAGAAGATGTTCTGGCCAAGAAAGAGGAGGCCTTGATTATAAGCTCCAATAATGCTCCAGTTTTTAGGCAAACAGTTCCTGCTCGTACTTTACTTTCAGTGTTCATGTCTCAGATGAATTTCTCTGTCATCTAACATGATACACTGCTAAAGGACATGCATGGGACGTACTCATTCTTTCTGGAAAGAGAATGGAGGAAAAGATAAGTTAGCTTGCTCTGTTCTTCTTCCAGTAATATCTTGCCACAACCTTTGAAGGTGCATAGGTATTTTCCCTCTTGCCCCCCAGCAAAGGCAATAATAAAATATTTAACAGAAGAATGGAAAAAAGGACCTGGAGGGCCAACAAATTCAACCCATATAAAACTAGATGTAGAAGACCTCCAGTAATGGCTGTCCAGCCTCTGCTTGAAGGCCTTCAGTGATGGGGAACCACCATCTCTCTAGGTGAACAATTCCATTCCAGAAATGCTCTCAGTCTCAAGAATTTTCTCACAGTGTTCAGTCAAAAATCTGGTCTTCTGTTAACAACTCACCCATCTCCCTTCAGTAAGATAAAGAGGGTGACTTAGCAGGGACTGAAATCAAAAAATCAGTGGTTGAGAGCCAGCTTTGTAGGCAGAAAGTCCTGGATTCAGTCTTGGATGGGGGAAAAAACTTGAAACTTGCTGGTCATGGAGAATAGTTGCAATGGTGTGTTCAGACCCTGTGATGATCTACATCCCTACCTAAAACTAAGAGATAAATTGGGTTCTAAAGTGAAAGCAATCCAGTTATTGAGATTTCTGTGACTGTGTTCCATTCCTTTTCAATACATCTCATTAAAGGAAGCTCTGGTAAAATCTTGTTTTTGGCTGTAATCATTGGCCAAGAGCGTGACAATTCATACAAAAGTTAGAGCAGGGTTTCTGTATCCTCAATAGCTGCTGGCTGGGGAATTCTGGGCGTTGAAGTCCACACATCTTAAACTGGCCAAGTTTGAAAAACACTGAATTAGAGGGATCAATCGTTTACTTTGGTTTAAGGCAGCTTTTTTACAGGGCTGGTGAATTAGTAGCTTTCAAATGTTTGATGTAACAAAGAAAGCTCAGATTTACACGCTGATTTTTACTGAGCCAAATTTTAGCTTCGGTTTGTGCCTATGAGCTTTTGTTCTGTTTGGAATGACCATCAGAAAGGTACATCTGGACCGCAAGGGAAGTGGTTTAGTGTCCATCAACCTCCTACATCTTTCTCTTCCACCTCCATATTTGCAGATGCATAGAATTGTAGCTCATTGTTAAAAAAAAAAGAAAAAAAGAACCAGTACAAGAGCGTAATGGAGATTTCTAGCTTCAGATCATTTCCTCCAAGGGATTGCTTAGAGATTGCCTTAATCTCAGCCCATGTTCACTCTGGATTATTCAAGGTTTGTGCCTCATTTCTGTCCTGACTGGTTCAATGACTGGTTCATTTGTGTCCCCAGCGGACTTGACATCTTTGGGAGAAGTCTTGTGAATTTCTCTATGCAGATCTTCCTTCTCCATCACTTGCTTCCCAACCACTCAAAAATCACCATCACTGGCCCAGGTTTCCCCTTCATAGGCTCTGCAAGGAAAATGCTTCTTCTCTCCTTCCTGGTCTTCAGCATCTTGAGCCCATTCTTGGAAGAACCTTTTTGCTGGAGAAAGCTAAAGGCTTATCTGGGTAGCCTATTCTTCTCCCCAGTGGCCAACTGGTGGGACATAAGAGAGAACAACCCAGTCCTGCTCTAATTCCAAAGAGGTTGATTTTCCTAGAAAACATCTCTCCCAGTGTGGTGGTTAAGGTCTTGGACTAAGGAGCAAAGATATCCAACACTCTTTAGAGGAAGAATGAAATTAAACATGTAGCAATGTCTCAGTTGAGGAGAACTCAGAAACCTTCACCTCTGCCCCTGAAAACTCATTTTGTGCTTGTTTATTTCAATTTGTTTTGGTTGCTGGCATTAAGCAAGAATTGCAGCTTTGGAATAAATCCTGAACTGCTACAATTGAAACCAAAACATTTAAAAAAAAAATCCCAAAAAACTCTGGCCCCTGAATGATCTCGTTAAGCATCTGTTCAACAATGAGATCATACGGTATGAGAACATCGCCTTCGAACGCTTTGGGTTTATTTTTACTTAATAATATGTTCCCCCTTGATTTTGTTTTCTACAACACCCGATCCCTCAAAAGAAAAAAAAACTCATGTGGAATTTTTCCTCCTTCCTCTGGCACGCAGTCCAGCTCCATCTTTTGTGCTGACACAATGGACGTGTCCTGCAGGAGTTGGCCTTTGACACCATGAGATGTAGCACTTAGGACAGTGTTGTCCAAACTTAAGATGAGTGGACC